TGTCCCTTAAGGTGACCTTTTATACCCTGAGTTGACATTGTCTGCGATTGTACAAATTCCGAAGAATTTTTCTGAAGGTCAGGAATTTTTTCGGAGAAAAATCAAACGTCCTAGAAAACGTCTAAAACGAATCGCAAGTTATGCGACACGTCTCACGTAGACCCTCAAAGTTGTCCTCAAAATATTGTAGCTTCAACGAAATTTAGTAACAGTAGGTCTGTACGCAGTGTTCACAGTTTTAGCTTCCTTACAGCATGCTGAAGCAGTGGAAGGAATGCGGACAACAGCAGCGAGTTTATGCAGGTAGAATTCGCTGCTGCTGTGCGTATCCTTTCCACCGCTTCAGCATGCTGTAAGGAAGCCAAAACTGTGAACACTGTCTGTACGTCGAAGGAAAATAAGACAGAAAAAATAAGAAAGAGAAGAAAGAAACACATGTTTGGAACATGTTATCTTCGTGTAACTCGGTTTCTGGAAATAGGATTAATTACTCGAATTCTATCGGGTCGCAATCGGATCGAGACACACGTACACACGTATCGTGTGTGACATCGATGACAGATCGCGTCCTATTTTCGGAATCGGTCCCCGATGATTGATTTACTTCGAAGATTGATTCCGCGCTACTCGCACGCAGCGCGAACCGTCCAGAAATACAATTTCGGATCCCTAGGAATCCCGCGCGGTAATGCGATTTTCAAAATCAATCGAGGAATTATCCGGACACGCGCAAACGATCTAATAAACGTCGGCGTGAATGTCCAAGCTTTCGACGATACGCGATTCGTACCGCGTACATTGTGTTGGTTCTTCGTTTTACAAAGCAACGATTCGCATGTATGTATGCGCGGCAATTTCAAAACCGGGAGAACTATAATTTATCGCGTATACACCCGCTAAGTGTCTAAATGCAATTAATTAGTGACGCAGAAGAGCCGGAATTTCGACGCGCCACTTCCGCGCGTGTATATCGCGCACGCGCGCGCGCTTTTCCAAAAATTTCCGCGAAATAATCTCGCTTTCGTTGCACATACATTTCGCGCGTGTTTCATTACGATTGAATTTTAACTGCGCTCTCTCTCTCTCTTGAGGTAAAATAAAAAAAACAAAAAATATTTTTCAAACATATGCGCACAAAAATATTTAAATTTGCAATATCGAAGTCAGAAGTTTTTCAAGTTTAAAATTGATAAAATTATTTTTTCAATCTTTAAATAAAATTATTATTTTTTTTTTTTTAATCTTTCTTGCACAAAAATTATTCCGTTCGTTAAAATTACTGCTTCAAATGTTCGCAAAATAACTGCACGTAACGTGAATGCAAATTGTGTTCGAACTGTTTAAAAGAAGCTTAGAAAATCGATAACGCGCCACGCTGAAAATTTTAGAAACGAGAGATCTATCGGCTACTCTTTTCAGGAATATTGTCGACCGTATCGCCGATTGTATCGTCGTTAATCGTAATCGACGCGATTAATCAGCGTCATGAGACTAGGAAATCGCGGGATTACGATGACCCATTCGATCACACATACACGCACGTTCGGACATTCGGCCGACAGATTCGAGCGGGAGGAAATCAATGGTGGATTATCCGCGATGCGGATACAGCAGCGTTGATATTTAAGAGCGAAAAGGACAATCTCTCGCGGCAGCGATGGAAAGAGAGAAAAAGGTGGGGTTGGTGCGGATGGCAAGCGGGTCTCTCGCCATGTATTTTCGGCCGAAACCCTCTTGCTTGTCGTTACCGAGGGACATTTCGACACGACCGACAATCCCGACTCCGAAATGCACTCTGGCCGGTCGTTTGCATAGTCGCATAAAAAAAAAAACGCCTCATGCTGGACGACATATTAACAACGCCATATGGCGTTTTGATAAGCGAGCCTCATGGCTTTCGATTCGGAACGAGAGAGAGAGAGAGCCGGTTGCGCCATTTGTCGGGCTATATATTGGCTCGCATGACGATAAAAATGTTTACAGCTGTTTACTTTTGACGCCGACATTTCCGCGGCCGTGCAATAATTTCCAACCGCGCAGAGATTCTTTCGGCCAATCCTACATTCCGACGTTATCGTCGCGATAATGCAAATAACGTCCCCAACAGGTGTATCGACGTTTACCACACCCTATCTACGTGATATTATATTCCCCACGGAGATGCGCAAGCGGACGACGTTGTCGTCGTCGTCAGCCATCACGTTAAACAAATCACGCCTCGACGCTTCCAATGTTGTTTGCACGTCGCTGCGAATTTCGACGACTGAAACATCCCCGCCGTCCTCTCTCTTCTCTCGCAGCGCGCAAAAAGCGATTAAAATGCTTTCACGGGAACGGACTGTGTGTGCGTGCGCGTGGTGTGTATCGCATCCCCCGACTCGAATACATTTTTGCAATTACGACGGCGGCGGCGGGTTTGCATACAACCAGCGCGATCGAAAGCTTCGCCGATGTACGCTGAGGGAGTCTTTCTCATCAACGCGAGAGAGAGCTGCAGGCGAGTGACGGCAGCCCCTGGGACTCGCATAAGTCGACTTCTTATGCAAGTGGTGGTGCACGGATGTGTTCCGGGATCGAGGGTTTGTACGTGTAGGTTACGTTAGGTTAGGTTGAGGGCTAGATTCGGGGTTGGTTCGGTTTTGGGGTGTGTGTCAGTCAGCCGAGGGATGTTCCACGGCTCACCCTTCTTCGCCTGGCGGTTTCCTCCCTGCCTCTCAATTTTCTCTTTCTCGCTCTTGCTGTTTCCTCCTCTAGTTCTATCTCTCTTTCTCTCTCGCTCTCCCTGTCATTCTGCCTCGCTGTTAAGCATACACACGTACGCATACACATACACACACCACACACACACACACACACATGCACGTCTCTGAAAGCGCGTACGTGTGCAGCCAAAGCTCTCTCTCTCTCTCTCTGTCTGTCTGTCT